GCCTGATATTATTTTCTATTATTTTGGCAGCCAACCAGAGTTATTTTATATTACCTTTATACAATCTCCCAAATCAACATTACATAACTAAAGTCACGTGGTGTAGTTAACTGTTAACTTTCTCTACCCCTTATTATTTCATCAGTAATGACTCAGTTATAACAGAGATAGTTATTGATTTAGAATGTCAGAAAGAATGAACAGAGGATAACATAGGTTTTCTACAGCTTGAATTTTTCACTTGTTGTCAGACCCCTGCTTTTAAAAGTGGGTGAATTAATTTTGCTAGTATTAATTATCTGTAAGAAACTTATTACTCTAAATAATTAGGTATTTTCATATAAAGAGAAAGAAGCAATACCAATTTAGGTATGGAATTAACATTCTTTGAACTTAGGAAAGCTACAAGCTGTGAAATTAGGTCACAATTAATCTTCTGATAAAAACACCCGGATTTAGATTACGCAATTGTGTAAAAGTTATTTAACAATTTAGCAGGCAATTTCTGGAGGTAAACTTCCCTCCAGATCCTCAGCAAAAAAGAAAAAAATAAAGGAAAAAAATGCATCTCTCACAACAAAAGCAAAGAAAAACAGCCCAATTTCAAAGAATAAATTTTAGATTTGCTTAGACTAAAATTTTTAAAAATCAGATTGTAAATACACAGTGCAATCAAATAACAATCAGCCAAACAGGACTCTGAATTGCAATAAGACAACTCATAAAGAAACATCATGGCCCAGCTGGATATGGTAAAGCCAACTAGTCCTTTCTCTCCATATTTTCGACAGCAGCAATCATAGTGAGAGACCCTCCCATGGGGCAATCTACACTCCTCACACGGATGACAGGAACAGCGGAACTGGCTGCATTGCACAACAAATTGACTACCTTCGATTGACTTGGTTTTGAACATGCTGCTACAGTAGGATAGAAACTGAAGTGTTTGCTCAAATGGTGTAGGGGTTAGTGACACATGACACTGCATTTCCAGGAAATGAGGGTCAGTCCTTACAGTTGGTCAAAGCACTTGTAATTGATCTTCCACAGGGTACATATTCCTGCTGAGGCAGTCATATCCTGATTACTAGAATATGCTAACTGACTACTTATTAAGCAGCTGTTCGGGGAGTAAACCAGATCAAAGCCATCTTCTGTTACTCAAAAGGCTTTTCCCCCCCATTTTATCCAGGATTACAGGGATACTCTCCATAATATGAGAATATATAAGAATTACAGTTGAGAAAACTAATCATTCTTTAAATTTTGGGGGCACATAACCCTGCCCTTTGATGATCTGATGAGCTAGTACCCTCCTACTATAAAAATCTACAGATGTCCAGCCAATTTTGCACAGAACTTTAAGAGGTTCTGAAGCCCCTGAAACCCATGGACCCCAACAAGTTAAGTTAGTTAAGATGTTTACTGTGACAAGTAAAGGGTCAGGTTCATGCTTTATTCATCTCTGTATCTCTACAGTTCCTAGTGTAGCAACTGGCCTGGAGTAGAGAATAAATAATTACCAGGGATTGGAGTTGATGTTCTCAGTCACAGGGAGCTCCAGAGCACAGGTAGGAAACCTCCTAGAAACTCAGTGCTCTAGCGTCTGTCATCTCTAGAGGTCTAGTGCCCTCCCACCACTGCTTCTTGTCTGTGTGTTCGGGAGAGAAATTGCAAGGGGCCGGGGAAGACTGGGTAGGACTGTGAGTGTTGGGAGTGGGTGACAATCAATCAAGTGACAACAGCCCCAGCCTGACCACACTGGACAAGTCATGAGTGAGGTCATTGCTGTCAGACTGACCCTGTTTTTGGCTCTTTTGCCCATGATATTAGAATATTACTGTCCTTCAATAAATAGCACAGTTAATTGCCTCTGTGAAGTTAATTGCTTCACCAAGCAATTGTCTTGGTGAAGACATCTCTGGAGTGAGCCAGAGAATCAATATGCTGAGTTACAAGTCCAGAATCAACTGTCTTAGGGAATTTGTGTTCTGGGAAAAATGCAGGAAATGACTGCAAACTTAGTCCATACTCCAGCCTTAGAACCAGGTCTTCCTCAGGGTATGGAGAAGATTATTGCTTTGTGTGTGAGTGTGTGTGTGTGTGTGTGTGTGTGTGTGATGGCGGGGGAGAGGGAACAGAGAAGGAGGTCCCAGAGCTATGGGCTCATCCATGCTTCAAGGGATGTTTTGAGTCTAGATTTCCTAAAGCACATGTGACCTGTGACACTACTTTGACTCTTGATCCAGAGCCTTCAGCATCATCCCAGAGACCCACCTTGCCTTAACAGTGCCTTACCAGTGGAGCCACACCAAGTCAGGCAGGCAGGATGTGTCATCGATAGCTCATCAGTGCAGAGATCAAGTTTCAGTGAGAATGCCCTGGCAGCAAAGGTTCACTTCAAGCACAGTACATCAAGAACACCAATGTGACAAGTCTCAGATTACAGATTGTTCTACTGCCTGTCTCATCTTTTCCTGGCCTATAGTTACTGTGCACAGTGACTGGCTAGGGTCAGGGCTGAGGGGGAGATGATCCAACGGAGAGAAGGTCCAGGCTTTGCTTGTAGAGAGCTGGTAGTTCAGGTCAACTAGGCTAACAAGAGCCCACAGACATAGGAGATTGGCAAGATGTCTACCCTACTTGCATGGTGCCTCCTCTGTAAGCCCCTGTCTCTAGGGTTTACTCTCAATGGACCTACTGCAAATCCTCCCTAACATCTCAGCTGTACCTCCCCTTCTGTGGCCTCCTGTTACTGGAGAGTAATTATTACCCGGTGTGGCATTTAAATATTCTCAATATTCTCTGGTTGTTTTTGGTTGTTCTCCTCCTTAGTTAGGTCCTTGAGGGCAAGATGTCTGTAGGCACTGCCCCAGGGGACTGAGCAAGTGTAGAAATCAAGAAATACTGGATTGAATGAGTTAAGAATCTAACTATTAGAGAATTAACACAAATGAATTCAAATAATTTTATGAAAGTTGGAGTGGAGAGGGCACACAGTCTCCTCAGCGTTTTTCAGATTTTTTGAAAGTGACTCATACTAAGAAATTCTTTTCCCATCACAATATAGTCCATACAAATATATATTATAGAGACAAAAGTTACTTGAAACAAACTTTACATTTACTACATGTGGCACACTCTGATATTTTCTATTCTGTTCCATTTCATTAAAAAAAAATGCCAGTCACCACCCATTAAGTTGATTTCATGATCCACCAGTGGGTGCCAACTTGTTGTTTGCAAAACACTGGCTTGGATTTTGTTAAACCTGATAAGGAATTCTACCCTGCTTTGCATTCTTCTCTAAAAACCATAAAAATATTTTCTATTCATACATAATTTACATAATATCCAAAAGGAATCTTACAATAGTTCTGAATAAAGTTTCACTAGGTTTCACAGTTAATAAGTAGTGAAATTCAGAGCCATAACCAGTCTTAAGATTCCAAATCGAGGGCTATTTGCACTTTACCATTCTGCATTCATCATCTGATTTGTGCATGTCTAGACTCTCCAACTTTGTTATAAGTGTCAAAAGGACCAGGAATGCACCTAACTCCATGCTGGGTGCCCAGGAAGTGCCCAATGAATACCTGATGAGCAGAAGGATATAATAATGGAAAAGGAAGAGTATAATAAGGTTGGTCTGGTTTCGACAGCGTGTTCTGGGGTGTCTTTGTGCCAAAACCGTATGTAATGCTTTGTAATCATACTTTTTATGAGGGATGATTATATTTCATGTATGATATCATATCTGTGATATGCTATGAGCCATTGGTTGAGGGGTTGGCACTGGAAAAGTTTCCCAAGCTTGCAAGGGCTTCTTCAGTGAACAGATAGGAGGTACTGAGAGAGGGACACTATTTAGTTCTTACCAAAGAGAGAGCTCAAAGAGTTCCAGAAAGGCCAATAAAAGCACCAGACAGGATGGTTTTCGTTTCTGCTAGTTTTCCCAAATAGTTGGTTTTCGTAAGGCTATAATTTGTAGATCCGGCTTCTATCAGATCTTGGATCCATGATCAATGGTAAGCTATCAAGAATATGTCCCCAAATCTGCTATCTTGGGCCTCTCCAGCTAAATCCAATGTTCTTGGGGAAACACTAACATGCATCTGTCCTAAGGTATATACATGTGTGTATGGGGAGGTAGGGTAAGGACAGTTAAGACCAAACAGGCATTGAATAATTGTTTGTTGAATGAATGAATATGTGGTTGAAAAAAATCAAAATGTGAATATATGCTATACTTATGTATTTCATATACATATATATGTGTGTGTGTGTATTTTTATATGCAGTCATATGAGGCTCTTTTCCTGGATGACCTAGGATGGGGAAAGGTGACAATAACACAGTCCTGTGGCTACTTGGAAAGGAAAGGACAGATGGAGAGAAGAGTTGAGGGGAGAGAAGGGAAGTTAAGAATGGGAAAGAAGAATGAGAGGGAAATGTGGCTGGAATAGCAGGAAGAAGGCCCAGCAACACTGAATGTTGATCATAATCCTTGTTAGTTCTAGAATTATCTTTATCTTACCTGTTACCCTGTATACTTTGTTGGACTCAAAGTACATGTTTCATGTGATAGAAAGGCCCTTGTTTACTTATTCTTCCTGACTCAGTTTTAAAAGGCTGTTTACCCTTCTCAGTCTGTTTCTTGTAGTTGATATACTTCTGAGCTGAGGTAAGGGATGGGAGGAAGCAGTGTCATGGTGGCTTCCTAAACCCAGCTCACTTGTGTGGAAGAACTGAGAGAGGAAGTCTTCCCTAATAATTAATCAAACGGAACCCTCTCAATAGGAGGAAAACAGGTGATGTTGCAATGGCAGGGCTCACCTTTCAACCTCATGTTTGATAAGGTTTTGGGAAAAGAACAGCATTCTGTCCAAAAGTCAGGTCAAAAGCCTCTTCACATATTGATTTCCCAATCCCAGACCTGTAATATCAAATAAAACAAAGGCCCTTGCCCGAAATAAAGTTATTAGCAAATATCTCTTTGCTCTCCCAGAAACTGTGCTGTCTCACAACATCTTTCTGAATTATCACTTTATTTTTGAGACAAGAGTTTAATCTTTCAAACGAAGTGTATGCTGATGGAAGAGGCCAGTGGTTCTGTAGGCGGAAGAGAAGAGCAGTGCTACCCTTGTGCGTGGGAGAAACATTAAGATGAAGGAAACAGCTAGTGGAGCCAGACTGCCTGGATCTGAAATTGGTTCTGCCACCAGCTATGTAAGTTACACAACCTTTCTATGCCTCAAATGTGGAAGTGGGATAAACATTTTATCTCATACGAATAAATAAGTTAATACAGGCGATGCCCTTAAAACTGTGCCTGAAAATACCAGGCATTCAATAGTCCTAGGTATTAATAGAACACGAGAAAAGAAATTTTCATTTGCTAAATTCAAACTTTATTTTGATAGTTTTTCTTCTTCATTTTAATAAGGACTAATGGTTTCCAGAATGCTGGAATGACAGACCTGAAAGGAATGTTTATTTTACAGATATGTAAAAAGCCCAGAGAGTTGAGCTCTCCAAGGCCACACAGCTACGTAGTGGTAGATTCAAGACTAGAGACCAGGTTTCTTGATTCTAGACCATTCTCCACTGTACCACACTCCTTCCCTGGAGGAGGATGTGCAGGACCAAGGAAGTCCCGTCAGAGCAATAGTAACAACCAGACTGCAGTAGTTCCCCTAAAGGCTCCCTTGTCATTAGAAAGACAATCTTAAGCTGATTCACTCTTCATTCATTCAATCACTCACTCAATCTAACTGAGCCCTGTTAGGCTATCCATGGAAGGTACAGAAAAGTAAAACGCAGTCCTTGTTCTTAAAGGATTTCAATTGGAATTGGAGCAATGAGATAGGCAGAGATAAAATGATACAATAATACAATCATTTTTATAATGTGAAAAGTATTAGAGAGGTTAGCTGTCTTTTGCTATTTAACCAGTCAGAAGTCCAGTAAAAGAGTTTATGATAAGGTTAGTCATTTATGAATGACTAAAATAAATTAAAGCTAGCCCTCATGGCCTAGTGGTTAGGATTTGGTGTTCTCACTGCCATGGCCCAGGTTTGTTTCCTGGTTAGAGAACCACACCATCCATATGTCAGTTGTCATACTGTGGTGGCTGTGTGTTGCTGTGACGCTGAAACCTGTGCTACTGGTATTTCGAGTACCAGCAGGATCTCCCATGGTGGACAGGTTTCAGTGGAGCTTCCAGACTAAGAGAGACTAGGAAGAAGGCCCTGGCCACTCACTTCTGAAAAATCAGCCATTAAAACCCTGTGATTGGAGTGGAGCATTTTCTGATATAGCTCTGGGAGACAAGAGGATCACGCAAAGAAGACCAGGCAGGGTTCCACTCTGCTGTACACAGTGTGGCTACGAGTCAGAATTGACTCAACGGCACTAACAACAAAAAATAAATGAAGCCAAGCAGGTCTGCAATGAGTTGAGCTGTGTTTAATGTTTGCTGTAGCTGTAGGTGCCAGAGGCTTCAAATGTCTGTAGTGTCTTTGTTTTTGTCTCCTCTGTTGTCTTTGGGTTTACCCGAGAACTCCTCCTTAGGCAGAGTTTGCATTTTACAGCTCCTTCAGCTGTAACCCACTGTTATATCAGAGCCTTGTTGGTGTGGCGATGCGGTGTCAAGGAGGGGAGGCATTCTATAATGTTATGGTTAAATCTCAGTGTTTTATTGTGCCTGCATCCCTGGGATAGGACCTCCACAAGTCTATCTTAGACCCCTCCCCACTTAGGCAGGACAGGAAAGGTAGACGGAGCTGGAGGCAGGGCAGTGTACTTTTCCCAAGTGGAATAAGGCTCTGGGAAAATCTTTCTCTTGGAGAGTAGGGCTTTGTGGTGGAGGATGCTCTGGACTTATTTCAAAATAAGAACTCTTCCCCACCAGCGTTCAGAGCCACAAGGATATCTTTCTTGGCTCTTCACTGTGAGAATCTGGTGGGGCTCCTGGAGATAAAGCCTACGAAAGCATGAGAGACTCCAAAAATCACAGACTCCAGGAGTCTCTCACGCACATGCTCATCCACACTCAGCTCTGGCAATTTGTCAAAATTCCCACATAAGTTTTCCTACCCAAGCATGGCTCCAGTGACTTCTACTGCAGCTACGCAGATCTCAGTGACTCTCTGGATTCTCTGTCTGTTCAGATTTGGGGATGGCTCTTTGCCCTGTAACCTCAGCTCCCTCATGAATCCCAGACAAGTCATCGATTTTCAGTTTGTTCAGCTTTTTCTTGTAAGATTGGGAGTGATGACTTCCAAGCTTTTTACATGCAGGGCTGAAACCTAAAGTTGCAACTTTATTTCCTGCATTTGGATATGCAGTTATACCAGCACCATTTGTTGAAAAGACTATACTTTCGCCATTGAATCTTTTGGCAACTGTTGTCAAAAATCATTTGACCGTAAATGTGGGAGTTCATTTCTGGACTTTAATTCTATTCTCAGTTGATCTATATGTCTACTCTTATGCCAGCACTACACTGTCTTGATTACAGTAGCTTTGTATTAAGTTTTGAAAATGGGGAAGTATGAGTCCTCCAAATTCATTATTCTTTTTCAAGGTGGTTTTGGTTATTCTGGTTCCTTTGCATTTCCATGTGAATTTTAGGATCAGCTTGTCATTTTCTGAAAAGAAGCCAGCAGGGATTTTGAAATGCGTTGTATTAAATCTTTAGATCAATTTGGGGGATTTTTCTCTCTTAGCAATATTAAGTCTTTCAATTCTTAAATATGGGATGTCTTTCCATTTATTCAGGTCTTCTTTCTTTCAATGATGTTTTATAATTTTAAGCATACAACCATCACACTTCTTTTGTTAAATTTATTCCCAAATATTTTCTTTCTTGAATGCTATTGTAAATGGAATTGTTCTCTAAATTTCATTTTTGGATTGTTCATCACTACTGTATAGAAATAAAATAATTGATTTTTCATGTTGACCTCGTATCCTGCAACCTTGCTGAACTTGTTTATAAGTGCTTATGATTTTCAGGTGCTTGTTTTAGGGTGGTCAGTTAAAACTTCTCTATGGTCCAGTGAAATTGGGATAAAAATGTACTCAAGATTTATCAATTAGAACCATCGTTATACTAAGAAAGCACACTCTTAGTAATACAGCGATGATACGATGAACAGCTAGAATGAGTCATGGGGTCCAGAGGGTTTGTTTTTATTATGGGCCTGACACAAGCATGTTTTATAGGCTGAAGAGAAGGAGCCAGTGGGAAGAAAGTGTTTGATATTAGAAAACAGAAGAAGATGACTGATGAAGAAACTGTCAGAAGATTCGGAAGGCAGTGAGTTAAGCACAGGCAGTGGCTTTGAGATACCTTAAGGTTTACTTTGTCTTCTTAGACTTTGGAAAAGGAGTCAAGTGTATAGCTATGAATGAAAATGTGGGCTAAAGTATACATGAAAACTGCTGACTAAAAGCAAGGAGCTGATGAGAGTAGCTTGATGATTTCAATTTCTCCATGACCTAGGAGTCCAGGTGATTCACTGAGGGGAGGGGTTTTGAGAAGAGGGGCGAGGATTTGGAATAATTGTTGAGACAGCTGGAGAGCAATCTGACTAAGGGCAAGTAAAAGGGTTAATAGGTATTGCTAAGGGACAAATAGAAGCTGAAGTACAAAACATGGGTTGTCAAGTCTATTTGTAGGATGTTCTCTGGCAGCATTTAGTCACCTGTGCACAAGAATAAAGAGATACATAAGTAGTAATGTTAAATCATGGACTGGAGATTTACTATACAGGTGCTGTGGCACTGAAAGTATATTAACAAAAAAGCGTCAAAGATGCTGCTAAAGAATAATTGAGACAATCAATCATGTTATGACAGACTGGGTTGGCAAGGGAGCCTTGGAGGGTCCTCATAGGTTGGGAAAAAATGATGGAGTGAACGAACTGGAGGTCTCTCCGCAGTTGAAAAATAGGTAGAGTGGGAGCGAAGGCACAAGAGAGGTAGAAGGGTAAGATGTTAAGACGCATAGTGGGATAATGGAGTTCAAAATTTCTGATGTGGTATAGTTCCAAGTGATAAGAATCTAGGTGTGACTTGGCTAAAGTAGACTAGAAGTGAAAGCCACTGGAATTATGGAGGTCCAAGTCTGTGCTTCTGGATGGCTCATCTACGTGAACCTTGATATCACTCAGAATTATGATAGTAACTGGGGTAGAAAGAAAGATCCAGGTCCTATCATTGACAGTTAATGTTAATTAGCAGTTAATTAACGACAGTTAATTGTCAGTTAATGAGAAGGAGAACCTGGGAAGTCAGTAGATGACAGTAATAAAGTGAGGCAGAGGTTGGTATACCTGAATGACCCAACTTCATGGAATCAACAGCTTTTACCCAGCACACCTGAGGGTTAAAACACTCCCATTAATAACAGTGTCTCACTCTGCAATGGTTCTTAAGGTGGGAGGGCATCATAAGAGAATCTTTGGGATAAAGCAGGGAGTTGGCCTACATCCTTATTAGAAAAACTCAGCCTGATAATTCTGATGCGCTATTTCAAGGATGGGTATAGAAATCTAGGGAGAATTCCTGAGGGACATATGGCTTTTATCCTATCCATATTCCTTCTTGCTACTGAGGACTATATACAGACATGAATGTAGCTCTCTGACAGATTTTTCCAAGGAAAACACACATATTTTTCATAATTATGTTTAATTTGATGTGAAAGAATATAAATGCACATATTCATTTTTTTATAACTGAGATGTTATTTACAGTGAAATGAACAGATCTTAAACGTAGTTTGGTGAATTTTGACAAATGCATAAGCCCTCACTTCTGTCAAGCTATAGAGTATTCCCATTACTCCAGAAAGTCCCCTTGTGACCCTTCCCACTCAATGTCTGCCCTTCTTGAGGCAACCACAATCCTCATTTCTATCATCATAGATTAGTTTTGCCCGTTTTAGAACTTCATCTTAATGGAAACACAGTAGGTAATCTTTTATGTCTAGCTTCTTATGCTTAGCATAATAAGGTTTAAAGTCAGCATTTGGGGATTAAGGTAAGTCATTCTGATAGAAAATTGTGATTATTATTAGGTGACTGAGTTCAGACCAGAAGGCAGGCAGATGTGTAAAAGATCCCTGCTGTGTTTCCACCTCCTGGACAGTTTGCCAAGAAAGCCTAGGATGAATTTTAGGTCACTTGGCTTTGTGACTCCCTCACCCCCAACCCCTTCCC